AGCTTAATAAGTACATAATTTGGAATATTGTCATTAGTCACCTAAAACAGAAGATGCTGTGAAATCATGTTTTATACAGTACCTCGACTTTTTTTAAATTACAAATGTACAAACCTCAGGACACAAAGGACAAATGGCACCATCATCTGGAAGTGAGAGAACTTTACAACGGTATTCTCGGTTTGCACATGACGTCATCAGTCGAAAAAAAATCTTAAATCACAGACACACAACATTGCAGCACTAAAATACCTTGAAGAGCATGATAGAAGTTCTCTCCGAAAGTTTAAACTTTTTTTGCTGTTTATACCGTYGAGTTATTAACGTTCAAAAATATGTCACGCAATACTGTCACGCGACTTGAAACGYGACAAATAAACCTCAGAAAGCCTATTAAGTTTAAAACAAGTATAGTCTCAGCATTAAATTAAATGTTTAAAATGTTATTGTTGTAAAACTAAAGCAAAATCATTAGTTTTGACCTCAATTCGACGCTCGGAGTTACTGTCCGCCATGTTCGTGTACTTGATTAGTACACTGTCATGGCTTTCCATACATTCCCTTTTAAAGTAAGACCGTGTTCAAACGCTTATATTTTTGCTACAAAATTTCAGTTTGACTTCAAACTTTGCATAAATGCTGGCAATTATATGCTGCTCTTGGCCTTGGATATAAAAAATTCATTTCGATCTTAAAACAAAGATTTTTGTAGGTATTTCTTGACCTGAGTCTAAAACGCATTGAGCAGTGATAATCCCATACATTCTTACCAATTTTCGATCGCTCGTATTTCTGTTAAAAAGCATTATTTTCGCTCGAAATTTCGTAGTGATCCTTTAATTTAGATATTCTCTTGAGGACAATAATAATATTCCGCTAATTGTGCCTCTAAATAGCATTTTTAGAATATCACGTGATCAGTGCAAACCGAGAATTGAAAATGTCTAATATAAAAGAAATGAAAAATAGAAGTTGATAACAGTACAAAATAAGAAGAGAGGTTGTGTGTAATGCATACAACACTAAGAAG